GACAAGGGGAACAGAGAGAGAAATAATTGTGGTGAGGCAAGGAGGGATTCTCTCCAATGCCGTGATTAAGATTTATTTTTTGGAGACAGGTTAAGCAGGCCAAACTGAGGTTCATATTTCATAGCGCCCCCCCCCCCCCACCAAATTCTGGCCCTGAACTCTGAGGAGGTGCTGGGGAGGGGAACAAATGAGGAGGCAGTTTATGAAGTGGCCTAAGGCCCAGGGCTAAATTTGAAATTAGCATGGGGATTTCAGTCAGAGGAGTCAAGTTTCCAGGGCCATGGCTAAGTCCAGCAGCTGAGGCCCCATGGAGGGATAGAAAGCTGACCCTTCCTGGCTAGTGCTTTGGCCCCAACCTTCCTGTCACCTGCTCCATGCCCCTGGCGTTCTAGGAAGCAATGAGAGTCACTCTCTTGGCTATGGTTTCTCATACCATCAGGAGCCGTCTTCTGTGCAGCTCTGTGGGGTGAGGAAAAAGGGACCTGGGTCTGACAAAGGGCTGGGAAGTAGGTTTAGGTAGGATGGGGCTACTGTCTGCCCTCTTTCCCCAAACTAGTGCCCTCATCCAAGCTTCCCGCTTAGCGCTCTTCTATCCTGAGACACAAGCTCAAGGTCAGGTGATGCCCGATAGAACCTCAATGGTCTGTACCTCATCACCTGAGTGTTAGGTTCCTAGATCCTTTTCTGGGTGCCAGCTACTAAGCCAGATTTTCTTCTGGGCTCTGACAATCTCTTGGAGTATGGAATAGTCTTAAAGGTTAGAGACTTTTCTGTGATAATTTTAAAACTGTGTTTTTATTACAATGAAAATCTGAACTGAATGATATAACCCTATTCTGTATCATACATCTGGTTGGCCACGTTATAAAATTAAGGGCAGCCATAGAATTTCTGGGCCCTCATTTACGTCTGCCTTGGTGTATTAGGATCAGATTAGGCTGCACGTAATAGAAAAAAAATCCAAAATGACAGTGGTTTTAACAAAATGGAAGGTTAATTCTCTGTCATGTCAAAGGACTCTGGAGATAGGACGTGCAGGTTTGGTGTGGTAGCTCCATGAAGTTGTTAGGGACTGCAACTGCTCCCAGCTCTCTGCTGTGCCATCCTTAGGGCATGACCTTCGTTCTCATGATCCAAGTTGATTGCTGTAGCTCCAGTTAATACTTGCTCATTCCAAGCAGTAATATGGAGGAAAGGGCAAAGAAAGGCCAGCCCCCTCCCCTTTTCGGAGATTTCCAAGAAACCCCAAATAACATTTCCACTTAATCTCATTGGTCAGAGCTTTGTGGTACGGGCACACCTAGCTACAAGGGAGGATGTGGAATATAGCGCTTTAGTTGGGCACATTAGGGGAGGAAAGAGGTGGCTTGTGTGGTAGATAACTAGCAATCTTTGCCACATTTCGTGTAAAGGATCTCATTAGCTTCAAATTGTCCTACTTGAATTGTCCAGGACAAATAAGAAAAGAACATGGGAAGACAATACATAAATGATGGCTTAGTCCCATTGAAGACCAAATGATGTCTCTGAGGGCTGTAGGAATGACAGTTTAGCAGTGGATCTGATAGGAAAAAAAGTGATGCCAGAGCTGAGTCATAGCACGACGAACTCAAAAGAACCTGAATCCCAGTCGGCACTGCAGTCACGATCCGGAGAGCAATTTAATTTTAGAAAAACAACATCATCCACCTTGTTAAAATCATTGTTGTTCATTGGATTTTTATTGGTTTTGTAGTTTTGTTTACACTTCATTTGGAAGTTTGTTTCAGCTTTATAATTGTGTATCAGTCATAAGCATCAGGAGTTCGCAGCTTGTTTTCTCTTTGCACCTAGTTTAACACTGTAATGAAAATGAGTCAACAATTGAGATTATATATATATATATTTTCCTTTTAAGTGGCTAACTCAACTGGGAAATGCTTCCTGAAACCACTGGGGACTATTGTAGCAAACAGGAGAACGGTGGGAGTTGGAACCCCCAACAAGGGCTTCTGGCTTCAGTTTCAGGGTTCTTTTCACACCACCACCCCAGTGCTGGTGAGGAGGAGGCAGAACTGGCTGAAAAACAGGTGTTGAACCTAAACATAGCATATGATCAGAGGAGTCTAACATTGGAGGAGCTCATAAAGGTCACACGGCATGCATCCTGCCTGAAGCTTGAGCCTCTCTATAAGCCAAGCGACTGGGTCAGGGAGTGAGGATAAGGTTGGCAGTTTAGGGTGACATAAAGAAGCATTTGGGGGCAAGGTTGATTCAAACATTATGTCCCTGACACCAAGAGTCCTTGAGATATTTTCTGAGTATGTTCATGTGAACATTTGACAAGCGGAAACGGTCCTGGGGCCAAATGTATGGAAATGTATCCCCTCCCTTGCCCCTAGTAAACCCAGCCATGATCATCTGCCACAGCCTCCCTTAGCCTATGATGACATACACCCTCCAGGCTCTTCTCACTGTATTGCAACCTGGAGGGCAGCCTGTTTACCATAGGGCAGAGGGGCTGCAGCAGATAGTATGGTGTCCTACCAGCTCCTGTGAAGCTGGGTAGTTGAAGGGGAAGGGGTTGTTCCAAAGGACTTGTTTCAGGCCATTTATAGATGGAGGGACGAAAAGCTCCTTCTGTCTCCTTCTTTGGCAGCTGGAAATCTTCCTCAGCCACGGCCACCACCACCCACTTTGAGCATTTTCTTGGATTCTCCATCTGTTGTGAGGGAATTCCACGGAGTTCAAGAAATTCTGAGAAAGACTCTGCTATCGGGGTGAAAGAAGAAGAGTCAGTGAGGACAGAGAAAGAGTCAGCGAGTCTCTGTGCTTGTACCTTTTGCATGGAGAGAACTACACCAGACTGATCCTGTCTTCAGGAAGCTTCCAGTCGAACAGACCTGCTGATGAGTCACTGCATTCTCAGACATGAGGACAGTGGAAGAGAAAAATTCAGGACAAGCCACAGCATACGAGGTGTCTGGAATAGCTCAGAGTGGGGCCAAAGTCACTGTGGAACAAGGAGATTGGAAAGAGTAGCAGTTGCATGCAGAGACAATGTTTGTATTGAGAATCCATGCTGTGCTCAATCCAAGTAGGTGTTCTGAGCAGGAGGAAGTTTCAAGAGCTGTGGGCAATGAGGCCACTGGAGAGGGCCAACAGCTATAACAATCAACGTGTGAAAATTGGCACTGAAGACTGATCCCAAGTGTCCTCCAGCCCCCTGCCCACCCCACTCTCTTGCACTCAGTCATTGGCCTCTCTTTTCTCACAGAGAACATAGAAGCTATCAGGTGGGACATTACCCCCATCACCCCTATCTTCACACCTACATCTCTTTTTATTATTCTCCTTTTCCCTCCAGGCTCTGTTCACTGCCCCTATCTATTCTTCATCCCCCTTTACATGCTAAATGATTCCAGAACCTAGAAGAGGTAGTCTCTGAGAAGGCTGTATTAACACATGCCATACTGTTTCATCCTCATAGCAATTGTCTGCAGTGGGTATCATGATACCTATTTTAAAGTTGAAGAAATGGAAACTCAGAGAGGTTAGGTGACTTAGCCAAGATCACACAGCAAAGCTGAGGTTCAAACTTAGAAATCCCTGGCTACTCAGTCCATTTTCCTTCCACTGTGCCAGGCAGGATCCCAGGAACATCCAAAAAATACTTGTTGACTGAAATTCTGCTTATTTGGGATCCACTAGAGTCAGGCATGAGTGGACTGTTCAATGCAATTCTGAGGAAAGTCTTTGTAGGAACAAGATTGAAAATGCCAGGTTGATGTGCCCATTGGCTGAGCCATTGGGGATGAGGAGAGAACAAGCAATAAAAATTAATGGTGCAAAGACAAGTTAATTAAGAAAACTCTGCATATATAGAGAGAAATATTGCATGCTATCACTCCATCTCATAATTGTACAAGTGATGAGCTTGGCAAGTGGGTATCTGGACCTTCGCCTAACACAAGGGCCTTTCCAATCCTCCCAGTGTCCGGGGCATCTGCAGGTACAGTCTAGAAGTTGGTGATGTTCTTTCCTGATATCTGCTCACCTCTGTTCTGGGCCCCTCTCTCCTTGGTGTCTACCTCAGCTCTGTGCCAAGTTATCCGTTGCCAGTCACCCAATCTCTACTCAGTTTGGTCCTAGTTGAGGGTGTGGCCTCTTCCAGGTGTATTTGCCTTCAATAGGAAGCATCTGGAGAACTTAACTGAAGCTATTAGGCTGTAATAATAGAATTTTAAGCACTGTTGAGGACAGGCTTTGTGGTAAAGAGGATTTGTTAGCCTCCCCCGTCTTTGATATCTCATCTGCATGGTGGAACTGTCAGCTCACTGAGTGCCAGGCATGGGCCTAGCTGATTTTTATATATGTGATCTCTCGGGGCAATCCTGTGAGGTATATTATCATTACTATTTGATAAATGATGGAATTAAGGCTCAGAAGAGCTTAGTAACTTGCCCAAGTTCACAGAGCCAGTAAGTGGCAGAGCTGGAACTTGAGCCCAGGCCGTCTGGCTCCAGAGACCATGCTCATGGCAATTATCTTACACTGCCTCCTTGCAAGCAAACCAAACAATAACAATGACAAAACTGAATGGAAAAAAAGTGCTATTTCTGTCCTACCACCAAAGAAGTATGAAAATCCTGCTTATATGGCCCATGAGACCCCTATCCAGGGCCACTTCCTCCCTAGTGACAGCATATTTGAACTGCAAACTACTGTGGAGCAAATGTGTCACCTCTAGAAAGCTGTCCTTGGAATACCAAAGTGGGATTCAAAGCCAGGATTTGCTGACCTCTAATCTTATTATATTAAACCCCTAGGTTAGCTCAACCACTCACACTGGGAGCCCTGTTATGACCCAGCTGGGTGTTGTGTGGTAAACCTGGGCTGTGGTCAAAGTTTTTGCACATTAGACAATATTTTCTTTTGTGAACATCCTCCCATGTTTTCAGTATATGAACATTTTCATGGTCTTTTCCATTCCTTTTCAGAATATTTCTGTATACTTGTAGGTTAAGAATAATGGCCAATAGGAATCGAGAGCTTACTGTTTGCACTGTTTTCACTGCTTTGTACTGATGAGCTCTTTTACTCCTCCACAATCCTATGAGGTAGGTACTATTATTAACTCTATTGTACAAATGAAGCGACAGATGTTTAGGGAGGTTGAATGGCTACATCCACGTCACACAGCTACTAAGTAGCAAAGCTGGAATTTGACCCTTGGCCCGTGTGACTCCAGATTTGAGGTTGTGATCTATTCCTCAAGGCAGGGATTCTGAAGCAGGCAATTGAGGGTTTTAATAGAGAGATTTGTCTAGCAATTGTCTCATTGCAAAGATGAGGAAGTTGATGCTGAGCAATCGTCAATGACTAGCTTAAATCAGAGCCTGGTGGGGAGTGGAGAAGTGACTAGAAGCCTCCACAGTCCTTGTCCAGTCTTCAGATACTGTGAGGTCTTTGAGAGCAGGGCTGGGTCTGATCCAATTATCTCCCCAGTGGTTAGCCCATAGTAGGGATTCAGTAAATAAAATTTTATGATTGAACGAATGCTTCTATTCATTTTAATCTGGGCTGGCTCTGGTCTCCTCTAAATGCCAGGTTTCACCGTGTACCAGGTGGGCACCAACCTCTCTCTAACAAATATGGAATGTAGATGAGAGTCTGAGCCATCTGTGCTGTTCCATTTGATTTAAGGTCATCTATGGCTTCACCATATAGATTTTACCACTAGCATTTCATATATTCATTTGCTGCAGTTCTGCTTTCTACAGAAGAAGTAAACACATGGAGGGACAGTCACAGTAATGAGGAAGCCAAGCTACAGCTACCAAAAAAAGCCACATTAAAAAAAATAGCACCTAACAGTTATTGACTGCCTTCTATATCCTAGCTAGTGTTCTAAGTCATTTACGTGTACTAATTCATTTAATCTTTATAATAGTCCAGTGAGATAGATACCATATTGTCCCTATTGTACAGATGAAGAAATTGAGACTCAGAGAAGGCTGGTTACACAGCTAATAAGTGGTAGAACTAGGATTTTAACCATGTTTGACTCCAAAGAGTCTGTTCTTAACCATGATGCTAAACTCCTTACACTCATTATTACAGGACTTATTGATGGATTGTTATGGGGACTGAGTGAGAGGAAGGGGTAACAACAACTGCTAGGATAGGATTTGTGTAACTATGTGGTTGATGGTGTTATTCATGAAGACAACAGCACTAGAAGAGGACTAGTTTGGGATGTGCGGAAGGGTCATGAGTTTAACTTTTGGATATATCAAGTTTGAGGTGCCTTTGAGATATACAATTGGAGATGCTAACAAGACAGGTGGCTATGTGATTTGGAACGCGGAGATATTTGGGACTCTTCACCACATAGATAAAAATAACAACTTATTAGGCACTCACTATGTGCCAGTGTTATGCTAAGAGATTTATGTGGATTAACAACTCTAATTTAATTCTCATGGCGACCCTATGAAGTTGGTGCTTTATTACCCTTATTTTAAAGATGAGGAAACTGAGGCACAGAGAGGTTAAATGACTTACCCAGGATCATACAGCTGGTAAATTGCAGAGGCAAGATTCAGGCAGAGGCAGTCTGAATCTAGGGCCAGGATGCTCTGCTCTGAACACAATGGATGAATGGGATCGTGGAGAGAGAGAGAGAATGAATATGAATAAAGGAGGCAGAGAAAAGGATTGTCTGGGAATTCCAACATTTAATGGCTAGATAGAAGAGAGAAAGGTAGCAAAGTTATGGATTTCTTTGTTTACCACCTCTCTCTCTTAATACATGGTAAGTTCCAAGAGGGCAGATACTTTTGTCTATTTTGGTCACTGTTGTCCCCTGTAGCTGCCATGACTTTATTTTAATTAGCAAATACATACATAGCATATTCCAAGATCTTTAAAAATATTAGCTCATTTAATTCTCACTAACAACTGAATGTGGTGGATACTTTTACTATCTTCATTTTTATAGATGAAGACATTAAAGCACAGAGAAGTTAAATAACTTGCTCAAAGTCATAGAACTAGTCAGTGGCAGAGCTGAGACTCAAGCTCAGGCAGTCTGGCTTCGGAGTCTGTGCACTTAATCACTATGCAGTGCTCAAGAAATATTTGTTGAATGAATGATGAGGGAGTCAGCTGGGCCAAATGCTACTGAGCGGTCCAATAATTTGGAGATGAAAATATTTGCTGGCTATGGTGACATGTAGGTCACTGATGGCCTTAACAAATCCATCCAGTTCAGCTTCAACCTAGAAGAGAGGTTGTCAAAGAAGTCAAGGAGAACCTGCAGGTTAGGATTCAGCCTGTCCACATTTACCGAACACCTACCATATTCCATGCACCATTCTATGGGCTGAGGACAGAGCAGGACAGCCAAAGTCCCTGTCTTCAGGAGCTTACAGCCTTATGGGAGAGAAAGACAATGAACAAAAATATAGAAATCATAATATCAGCAGATGACGTGCTATGAAGACAATGGAAGCAAGGTAAGGAAATATAGAGGGAAGGGGTAGGAGAGGGCACTATTTTAGAAATCTCAAATCTGGTCACTCCTTAGTTCCTCAAGTTGATTCTGAGGACATCTACAGAACGAACTGTCCATTGAGGCCTTTTGGAGGTCTGGTTTGTCTCTGGAGGAGCAGTGCATGAGACTAGTAGGAACATGGCTCCTCAAGTCAGACAGGCATGAGTTAGAATATTGATACTGCCACTTGCTAGCTGTGTGACCTTTGGCAAGTTACATACCTTCTCTGTGTTTCAGTTTCCTAATCTGTAGAAAGGGGATAACAATCGTGCCTGCCTCACTGGGTTGTTGTGAGAATTAAATGAGTCTAAATTAGTACCAGGCACACAGAAGACATGTAATAATATGCCATTTGAAATTAAACAGAGTGACAGAATTTGAAGATGCTAATAACAATTTGAGGGGATATATTCTACAACAGAAAAGGTCTGGTATCTGAAGCCAGACAGATCTGAGTCTAGGTCCAGGCTCTGCCATTTCCTAACTCTGTGGCCTTGGCCAAGTCACTTAGCTTCTGAGGTTCAGTTTCCTCAGTTGGAAAATGGAAAGAACAATTCCCACTGTGCAGGATTTTTATGAAGATTATATGTGCAAAAACCTAGTACATAGTAGGAATTCCATAAATTAGAGCTATTACCATTAATAACATTTAATATTATTGAATACTTATTGATTGATTTATAATAACATAGGATTACTATTGTAACAGATGGGACGTAGGGGTTTCCTGACCAGGTTTTCCTTCATTTCTGTTTTCTCAGTTTCCCTGAGAAACTGAGCCTGATCTCTTGGTTTCTGCTCTCAACTCCCTTTTACATCTTTAATTTTAAAGCCCATTAGATGCCCCAGACCCGTCTTGAGCTCGGCTCATTTTAAAGCCTTTCTCTCAGTACTTTCACGACAACTCTGTCCTTTTTATCAGCCAGCTCTCCTGAGACTGCAAGCACCCTACGTCTCACCAAGCACCCGGGGCCCAACCACTCACCCAGAATCAGTAAAGAAAAACAAAATCTTCAAAAAAATCCCTCATTTACTAGTTACCACCACTCTACCCACAAGGGGGCGCTACCTCACATATAATCCTTACATTTTTGCGGCCCTGATTAATCAAAAACGGAGACTGGCAGATTATTAGCCACGAGTAAGCAGAACCCCAAATTTGTCTAAAGACCAAAGCCCCAACATTGGCCACAGCCCAGCCTTGTATCCTGGCCTCAGGATGGGCCCTGTTCTGAGGACAGTACAGCTTGATGGTTAAGAGCGTGGGTTTTGGAGTCAACCTGCTTAGGTTCTGATTCTGGCTCTATCACTTCCTAGCTGTGCGCCCTCTAAGGCTCAGCTTTTTCACTAGCAAAAGGGGATACCATTGGTAAGTATCTCAGGAAGATTCTGAGGAACAAATGGTCAATGTCTGTAAAGAGTTTAATACAGTACTTGGTATATACTCGATGAATGCTAGCTATTTCTGAGTCCTTATCCTGATCCCCAACTGAATTCCCAGTCAGATCACACACTGAGTTCCAAATCCCAGCTACTAATTGTCTCTCAACTGGCCAGTGTGAACTGCACAGCCCTGGGAAGGACGGCTGGGGATGGCTCCGTGAACTCCGATTCCCTCTAAGGGTGACCAAGTTCCAGGTTCCCTGATGCCTCTCTCCCATGCCCACCCGAGCCAGCCCCTTGTCATGTGCACCCTTATGTATTCAGGCTAAGGCTTCAGGTTGGTGTGCTAATTTTGGATCTCAGCTCCTCTGCTAGCCTTGGTCTTAGAGGCTGGCTTAGATTACTCAGTCCTGCACTGGAGAGCAACCCCCCTCAAACAAACAGGTACAAACAGGTACTTGAATACCTCACACTGCCACACACACACACACACAGAAACACACACACACATGCACACAGAGGCATCCTCCACCCAAACTTCAGGAGCAAATTCCTGCCCGGGGTGGAGGGGAGGGAGGGAAAAGCAACTGAGCTCTGGGGGACAGCTGGGCAGCTGCCTCAGCCCCTGCCAGGCACTTTTCCTAGTAAGGGCATCCTTTGGGCAACAATATCCAGTTGAAGACACAGCACATAGGGAGCTCCATTACTGTTTCTCTTAGCCCCGCTAGCAATGTCTCCAGAACTCTTTTGGGGCATTGTATTTAGAGACCTACTGGCACTCATTGACCGGGTCAGCCAGCAGCTGGTGCTTGCCTGCCTGCCTCCCCTCTCCATCTCTCCTTCTGCCCCAATAGCTGTAGCTGTATCCACAGAGATAAGTGATTCAAATATCCCTAACCTGTGGTCTCCCATAGCACTGTGTGTGGCCTAGGGGTGCCCTTCATCAGTGTTTGCGAGCCTGCAACCCCAACAACCCCATGCCATTTCAGTTGTTTCTCCAAGGGGTTGGATGAATTTCAGCTTCTCCAGGTGGAGGATTGTGTGGGTGAGTCCTCTAGGATCCCATCAGCTTGTGGAGATGGGCTTCCCTTGGGTGTGATTCAAAAACACTCATATATTTATTTCACAAGTGATTAATGAGCTCCTATTATGTGCCAAACATTGTTCTCAGTCTAGGAG